ATTTGAGCAAATGTCACACACCGATGGGTTACGTGCTGGAAAGCTAAATTAAAGACCCCGAAAACAAAAGGGTTAGACGGATAACACATGGCTCTAGGCAGCAGGAAGTTTTCATTTTCAAAGCGACGAGGCCACGGGAAGTCAGCACACAGGGAGTCTAGCTACGCAAACAGCACAGATGCACGGCCTACCTTTTCAGACCCAACAACACACTCACAGGGCGGTGTGACAGACAAAAAGGAGAAGAAAAGAAAGAGGAACAAGCAAAATTAGAAACATACAAGAAGAAAAACAATTTTGATAGCTACAACACTGCATGTTCCAAACCCACCACGGGCTTCGATGAACAGGGCCACGAACACGCTCTGAGGGAGCACAGCCACGCCCGGGGCTGCCAGGACGCCTAGGACTTGGGCAGAACCATCTGTTGGAGAGCCTGGCAGATGTGACAGGCCAACCCAGACTGGACTGGCTCCCGTTGTCGCCCGCAAAGCCAGAAAATGCTCCCTCATTTTGGGGTGGACACACTCTCAGGCCTACCAAGAGTTACGGCTGAGAGTGAGGCACTGCCCCTGCACCGACTCACCGCTCTGAAAGTTAGGGAGCCACGGGGCTGGAGAAGTGTGCGTGTGATCTCAGCTCACTGGCACCCTTCGCTCACCCAAGTTCAAATGCCGCCTGCGTGTTTATGGTGACGCTGTTCCAGCAAACTGAAAGGGCACTGCGGGAGGGCAGTTTTGTTTGCTGCTATCTTCCCTGTGTCTGGAGAGGCCCCTGGGACATGGTGGCTCTTGATAACATTTGATCAAGTCGTCAGCCACATGCAGGTGAGCGCCCACATCTTGACATGCTCTTATTACTTCCATCGAACTGTGAGCAGATTTCAAAAGGCAAACAAGGGCTGGCAGTGGCTGGTAGACGTGCCAGCTTACCACCAGGAAGCTGGTGACTGAAAACTGCCATGTGCCTCACGTGCAAGGGAGGAAGGCAGGGGTGGACCCCACAGCAGGTCCAACCCTGACATCTCAGGAGGCTTCTGCCATCCTCTGACCTCTGTGAGATGGACATGCGCCCCTCCTGCTGACCTCACAGGTGGCTGAACGGACTGAGTGCCGTGGAGTGCCTGCAGAGGCGTGCTCCACGGTGCCCTCTACGGGATGGTTTCTGCAGGCCCAACTCAGCCAAACAGCGCCCAGGTTCCTTCCAGGTACCAGCCCAGAGGTGCTGGAAAGGCTTGGGCCTGGGAGTTCAATCTGCTGCCTCCGTCAGCACTGTGGCTAGGTCTCCTAGTATCAGTCCAGAGGGAGCACTCCTGTGAGTGAGTGAGCACTCCTGTGAGTGAGTGAGGGCTCCTGTGAGAGTGAGTGAGGGCTCCTGTGAGAGTGAGGGCTCCTGTGAGAGTGAGTGAGTGCTCCTGTGAGAGTGAGTGAGTGCTCCTGCGAGTGAGTGAGGGCTCCTATGAGAGTGAGTGAGGGCTCCTGCGAGAATGAGTGAGTGCTCCTGTGAGAATGAGTGAGTGCTCCTGTGAGAATGAGTGAGTGCTCCTGTGAGAATGAGTGAGTGCTCCTGTGAGAATGAGTGAGTGCTCCTGTGAGAATGAGTGAGTGCTCCTGTGAGAATGAGTGAGTGCTCCTGTGAGAATGAGTGAGTGCTCCTGTGAGAATGAGTGAGTGCTCCTGTGAGAATGAGTGAGTGCTCCTGTGAGAATGAGTGAGTGCTCCTGTGAGAATGAGTGAGTGCTCCTGTGAGAATGAGTGAGTGCTCCTGTGAGAATGAGTGAGTGCTCCTGTGAGAATGAGTGAGTGCTCCTGTGAGAATGAGTGAGTGCTCCTGTGAGAATGAGTGAGTGCTCCTGTGAGAATGAGTGAGTGCTCCTGTGAGAATGAGTGAGTGCTCCTGTGAGAATGAGTGAGTGCTCCTGTGAGAATGAGTGAGTGCTCCTGTGAGAATGAGTGAGTGCTCCTGTGAGAATGAGTGAGTGCTCCTGTGAGAATGAGTGAGTGCTCCTGTGAGAATGAGTGAGTGCTCCTGTGAGAATGAGTGAGTGCTCCTGTGAGAATGAGTGAGTGCTCCTGTGAGAATGAGTGAGTGCTCCTGTGAGAATGAGTGAGTGCTCCTGTGAGAATGAGTGAGTGCTCCTGTGAGAATGAGTGAGTGCTCCTGTGAGAATGAGTGAGTGCTCCTGTGAGAATGAGTGAGTGCTCCTGTGAGAATGAGTGAGTGCTCCTGTGAGAATGAGTGAGTGCTCCTGTGAGAATGAGTGAGTGCTCCTGTGAGAATGAGTGAGTGCTCCTGTGAGAATGAGTGAGTGCTCCTGTGAGAATGAGTGAGTGCTCCTGTGAGAATGAGTGAGTGCTCCTGTGAGAATGAGTGAGTGCTCCTGTGAGAATGAGTGAGTGCTCCTGTGAGAATGAGTGAGTGCTCCTGTGAGAATGAGTGAGTGCTCCTGTGAGAATGAGTGAGTGCTCCTGTGAGAATGAGTGAGTGCTCCTGTGAGAATGAGTGAGTGCTCCTGTGAGAATGAGTGAGTGCTCCTGTGAGAATGAGTGAGTGCTCCTGTGAGAATGAGTGAGTGCTCCTGTGAGAATGAGTGAGTGCTCCTGTGAGAATGAGTGAGTGCTCCTGTGAGAATGAGTGAGTGCTCCTGTGAGAATGAGTGAGTGCTCCTGTGAGAATGAGTGAGTGCTCCTGTGAGAATGAGTGAGTGCTCCTGTGAGAATGAGTGAGTGCTCCTGTGAGAATGAGTGAGTGCTCCTGTGAGAATGAGTGAGTGCTCCTGTGAGAATGAGTGAGTGCTCCTGTGAGAATGAGTGAGTGCTCCTGTGAGAATGAGTGAGTGCTCCTGTGAGAATGAGTGAGTGCTCCTGTGAGAATGAGTGAGTGCTCCTGTGAGAATGAGTGAGTGCTCCTGTGAGAATGAGTGAGTGCTCCTGTGAGAATGAGTGAGTGCTCCTGTGAGAATGAGTGAGTGCTCCTGTGAGAATGAGTGAGTGCTCCTGTGAGAATGAGTGAGTGCTCCTGTGAGAATGAGTGAGTGCTCCTGTGAGAATGAGTGAGTGCTCCTGTGAGAATGAGTGAGTGCTCCTGTGAGAATGAGTGAGTGCTCCTGTGAGAATGAGTGAGTGCTCCTGTGAGAATGAGTGAGTGCTCCTGTGAGAATGAGTGAGTGCTCCTGTGAGAATGAGTGAGTGCTCCTGTGAGAATGAGTGAGTGCTCCTGTGAGAATGAGTGAGTGCTCCTGTGAGAATGAGTGAGTGCTCCTGTGAGAATGAGTGAGTGCTCCTGTGAGAATGAGTGAGTGCTCCTGTGAGAATGAGTGAGTGCTCCTGTGAGAATGAGTGAGTGCTCCTGTGAGAATGAGTGAGTGCTCCTGTGAGAATGAGTGAGTGCTCCTGTGAGAATGAGTGAGTGCTCCTGTGAGAATGAGTGAGTGCTCCTGTGAGAATGAGTGAGTGCTCCTGTGAGAATGAGTGAGTGCTCCTGTGAGAATGAGTGAGTGCTCCTGTGAGAATGAGTGAGTGCTCCTGTGAGAATGAGTGAGTGCTCCTGTGAGAATGAGTGAGTGCTCCTGTGAGAGCGAGGGCTCCTGTGAGAGTGAGTGAGGGCTCCTGCGAGAATGAGTGAGTGCTCCTATGCAGACCACAGGGGCCATGAGGATTAAACCCAGATTCATCTGCAATATGCTTTTCCCTTTCCTAAAGCAAAACGCGCACGGTCAGGTGAGGAAGTGGAAATCTCTCTGGGCCTGCAAAGTGCCACATGAAGGTGTGACTGGGGCTGCTCGGTCTAGGCCTCCGCTTGCCCCATCTTTCTCAGTTCCGTGACCATTTCTCCTGAGACTACCACCAACCGGAGGGTCACTGCTGACCCGACGTGCGCTCTGTGAGTGTGCTGGGCACCCCTTGGCAGCAGGCCCCGGGCCAGCACACGCCTATGTCATTCGACCCTCACCTGGGGATCAACATCCAGATCACAGAGATGAAGAGAAAGAGGCTCTGAGTGGCCAGGCCCTGCCGGCGGCCATGAAGCAGTGAGTGACTGTCCGCCTAATCAGCTGTCCCTCACAAAGCCAACAGCGATGGCCTGAGCTGGCGTCAGTCCTCTTCTGCCGATAGCCACACTGCACACAGGGCACTGGGCAGAGTGCGAGTGAAGGGCAGAGAGGGCAGGTCTGCGATTCACCCAACAAGAAGCCTGGACTGCACAGCTGGGAAGATGCAGCCCGACCTTGCCCTGGGGTCGGGGTCGGGGCAGGTGAGAACAGAGGGACTCTGCGTTTGCTAAGGCGGCGCTGCAGGAGGTGCCTGGGATGTCACAGCCTGGTCTCCTGGCTGCTCTCCACGTGAGGAAACTGACCCTGGGGCTGTCGGGAGACTGCTGCTGCTCACCTGTCCCGGCAATGGACCAGGGCCCCCTGCCAGTTTAACCAGGACCACCTACTCCCCCCAGAGCCAGGGGCCTGTCTACACAGGAAAGGGACAAGACAGGAGTTTTCAGTGCTGTGGGCACTATCCACTAGGAAAAAAATGCGAGCCATTGAAGCAAACTCGAGTTTCTAATTGCCTCATCTTAAAGGGGAAAAAAAAGTCTTAATTTTGATTATTAATTTTATTTAACCTAATATATCTAATATACTACCATTTTAACATGAAATCTATATAAATAAGACCAATGAGACACTGCACACCCTTCTGTCGACAGTAAGTCTCAAAACCAGTGAGCACTTCAGGCCGGTTCTCATTCCCCCTCCGAACCACAGGGGCTGTGGCTGCGGGACTGGGCAGTGGCTCCTGGGAGTCCGACGGGGAGCCAGGCTGAGGAGGGGCAGCGAGTGTACACTCTGGCCCAAACTACCTGGTTTTTTAAGTCAGTGATCTTAAAACCAGCGGGAGCTCCCTGCCCGGCCTCATGAGGGCTGCCATCTGCTCTTCCCTGCGGGTGTAAGGAAGCCGCCCAGGCATGGTGTCCCAGCGCCGGCCAGGGTCCCTCCAGAAACTTACCTGCTATCAGTGTCCAGTCCCACAAAGTCCTTCTTCTCAAACGGGACGCAGAGGAGGGGGATCTTGTCCCCGGACTTGTCCGTGGCTCTGTCCAGGCGCTTGGACTCGAGCACGATGAAGAGCGACTCGATGAAGTCCTCGACCCTCCTCTCCACCGCCTCGCAGTCCTCGTAGCTGGGGTAGAAGGCCACGTCGGTGCGCGCCTGCTCCGCCAGCTCCCCCTGCAGCCCGAACACCAGCAGGCGCGAGTCGTACAGCGTGGGGCCGTAGATCTCCTTCTGCGCCTGGAACTTCTCCAAGGTCTGCGGCCAGTCCTTGGCCGCACAGCAGTCGGTGATGGTGATGAGGCCCACGACCTTGCGGTGCGTCTGGAAGTCGCCCCACTCATTGTTCTCCGGCGGGTAGTGGTGGCGGTAGCGGATGTACAGCACGCGCTGGCTGTCCCGCACGCTGACCTGGCTCACCGAGCAGATCCTCTTGTAGACCCGGAAGAAGTTCTCCTCGGAGACGATGCCCTCCGGCTGCACCACCACCAGCAGCGTCTGGTGGTCCTCCGCGCACTGCATGTAGTCGGGGACGCTCATTCTGCAGGCCTACGCACAGAGAAAAGAGCGCCTTTGAGACGCACAGTGAGGACACTGCTGGCCCCTGCGGGCGGTGGGTGTCACCGGGGAAAGCTGTGAAGCCCACTGTCCCTGGGCCTCAGGGCTCCTACTTCAAAGCTGCAGCTCCGGCTCTGGCCTGGCTCCGAGCTTCTGCAGAAATGGGGCTGGTTCTCATCTTTCCTCCCCACCTCCTAACCGGCAGGTACAGTCAGTGCTCAAAAATGTTTGCTGGGGGACCTGCAGGTGGCGTAGTGGTGAAGGCGGTGGGCTCCCACATGGCCGACCATGGTCCGAGTCCTGGACCTGGTGGCTTGAAAATGGACATGTGTATGTCTATGCCCAAAATCCTAGGAGGAGAATGGAAGAGACCGGCTTGTACATGGCCATCCGGCATCCCACCACCGTGCGGGGGAAGGAGGGGGCAGGGGTGGTCTCTCACCTTCCCTCTCACTGTCTCTCTGTCTCTCCTACATGCCCTATGGCCAAAACCTTCCATTTAAGGGGCATCATGGTCAAGGCACAGGGCTCCCACACGGCTGACCATGGTTTGAGTCCTGGACCTAGTAGCTGGCTTTATCATTTTCCCTCTCTATATATCTATATTTATTTATTTACTTATTACTACTATTAATTTTTAATTTGGAGAGAGAAAAACATATTGGCTATCTTAAAAACTATATATATTTGGCTATCTTAAAAGCTATGTATACTTGTCTCTCTCCAGTCAAATTAAAAAATAATAATAGTAATAAATATATTAATTAGTCATTCTAAAAACACTTACATTAAAAATAAAAATGTTTGCGAGGCCAGCTCTACGGGGCCGTGTAATGCACTGCTCACGAGAAGGGGAGATGGCAGCATGTGACACGACGACTCCCTCTGGCCGACCGCGGTTTGAGTCCCGGACCCAGCAACTTGAAACTCACCCAGGTACATGTGCGTGCACGCCCATCCAAAATCCCGAGAGAATGGAGAAGGGACTGTGGCATGACCATCCCCCCGGAGGGTAATTTCTCACTTCCTGTCTGTCTCTATCCAGTGAGCACATGTGCCCTATAGCAAAAATCTCTCAGAAATAAATAAATAAATAAATAAATAAATAAAGATGCAGAGCCCACAAGGCCACTGAGGTTCAAATGGAATCCCTGCCCAAATCCTACAGGGTCAGTCTGAAACACCAGGCGAGCGCTCGGTCCCCAGCTCTGACATGGCTGGAGGCGGGGATGACAGCATGACCAGGCCCTGTGGAGAGTGCTCACCCCTCTCCACTTTCACGTGCACACACGCTGCTCCACCATGAGCAGAGAAGAACGCTGGCTACAACTGCCCTTCCACGCCAGTAGGACATGGTGGGAAGAACCCCCGTGGAGTCAGGGGATTTGAACTTGGTCTCCCTGAGCACCTCGACTACAGAACAGGGGCGATAAGGCTGCCTACAAGACTGTCTGGATCAGAGGCTGCAAACCTGGGCACTGGCTCAGCACCAGACGTAAAGGAGGCGCTCCACAAAGACGCACAGTCCCCTAATCTAACCCAGCTCCCTGCTAACCCCTGGGTGACCCAGGGCAAGCGCAGGAGCTCCCCTGAGCTCCAGTTTAACAGGGAGTGAAGAGGATGATAATGCAGCCTTCCAAGGGTACTGAGCCAATTCCAGTTCAGATAATGTTCTAGTTTCACACCGGCACTGGGGGTCACTGAACAAAACGCACACTGATTGAACTACTCCTACAACTGCGTAGAATCTGTTATGTCTCAACTAAAAGTCTCCATTTTGGAGAGGCAGCCCCATAGCCTGGTGGTTGAAGGTGTCGGATCCCACATGACCAACAGCACAGTTCAAATCCCAGCCCCGGCATGCTTGAAAAACAAGCCAGACTATGCGTGCACAAAACCCCAACAGGGTGGTGAGAAGGGGCTGCTGCGGGGCCGTGCCCCCCTGGGAGGTGCTTCTGTGACAGGCAGGCAGCTAGAACGAGGGGCAGCCCAAGGAACAGCAGCACGGGGCACATCAGTCACAGCTTCCCAGGGGTTACAACCAGACCCTCCACAAAATGCCTTCCTCCACCGAGCTCCTGGCCGGGAAGGCGAGGCAGACCCGTCTTCCTTCCTTAGTACCCGAGAGAGGCACGCAGGGACGGGTGACATCCTCTTATGTTCCTCGCAAATACGAAAGGACCAATGAGACCACTGGGTCAGCGTCCTGATTCCCCTGGGGCAATGACTGACCTCGTTCATCCAAGTAAACGGGGAGCACTGGGACTGGGTGGGCACACCCCTCCCCTGGGACGGAGGCGCACAGCGCAGGGAAGGCCCAGGAATTCAAACAAGGAGCCCGACACAGGACAGCCCTTCCCCTGCCACACACCCACCTCCATCTCCCGGGGTACACGGACGCCGCCCCAGCCCGGGGCCAAGGTCCTTCTCTGATAGCTGCCACCTGCACCTTTCGGGATGCTGTACGACTTTCCTCTGAAAAGTCCCCACGTCCCCACACAACTTCCCGTCCCAGGATGGGTCTCCAGTCATAGGGATCTGGGCCCTGAGAACCAAGGAGTTTTACACTATGCAACTCCTCTCCCATCCCATGACATATTCTCCCCTTCCACACACATCATCTGGCAAATTTTAAAATAAATAAATGAATAAATAAAAAAGAATAAAAATCTCTATTTTCCCCAGCCCAGCCACAGTGATGGAAACAGTAGGGTGTGGGGTGACGTGGGCAGCCCCGGTTCCGACCCGGGGCACCCTGAGCGGGCAGGAGTAGCAGTGCGTGCCTGCAACCCCGCTAACAAAGGACCACCATGGCGAGACCCTCCCAGGAACACCCGTCTCAGCTCGGCCACGTGGCGCAGGCAGCTCCCAGCCCCGGCATGCTTGAAAAACAAGCCAGACTATGCGTGCACAAAACCCCAACAGGGTGGTGAGAAGGGGCTGCTGCGGGGCCGTGCCCCCCTGGGAGGTGCTTCTGTGACAGGCAGGCAGCTAGAACGAGGGGCAGCCCAAGGAACAGCAGCACGGGGCACATCAGTCACAGCTTCCCAGGGGTTACAACCAGACCCTCCACAAAATGCCTTCCTCCACCCAGCTCCTGGCCGGGAAGGCGAGGCAGACCCGTCTTCCTTCCTTAGTACCCGAGAGAGGCACGCAGGGACGGGTGACATCCTCTTATGTTCCTCGCAAATACGAAAGGACCAATGAGACCACTGGGTCAGCGTCCTGATTCCCCTGGGGCAATGACTGACCTCGTTCATCCAAGTAAACGGGGAGCACTGGGACTGGGTGGGCACACCCCTCCCCTGGGACGGAGGCGCACAGCGCAGGGAAGGCCCAGGAATTCAAACAAGGAGCCCGACACAGGACAGCCCTTCCCCTGCCACACACCCACCTCCATCTCCCGGGGTACACGGACGCCGCCCCAGCCCGGGGCCAAGGTCCTTCTCTGATAGCTGCCACCTGCACCTTTCGGGATGCTGTACGACTTTCCTCTGAAAAGTCCCCACGTCCCCACACAACTTCCCGTCCCAGGATGGGTCTCCAGTCATAGGGATCTGGGCCCTGAGAACCAAGGAGTTTTACACTATGCAACTCCTCTCCCATCCCATGACATATTCTCCCCTTCCACACACATCATCTGGCAAATTTTAAAATAAATAAATGAATAAATAAAAAAGAATAAAAATCTCTATTTTCCCCAGCCCAGCCACAGTGATGGAAACAGTAGGGTGTGGGGTGACGTGGGCAGCCCCGGTTCCGACCCGGGGCACCCTGAGCGGGCAGGAGTAGCAGTGCGTGCCTGCAACCCCGCTAACAAAGGACCACCATGGCGAGACCCTCCCAGGAACACCCGTCTCAGCTCGGCCACGTGGCGCAGGCAGCAGGGTGCCCCTGCACAGCACTGGGGCCACATGGGAGCCCCGATTAGGATCCTGGATGCGCCTGACCACACCCGTGACCTGGGCTGCGGGGGAGCAGTGGGTGGGGCCCTGGGAGGTTTGCAGCAGTTGCTACTGTGCCAAGTGCACCTGTCTCTCTCTCCCCTTCACAAAAGAAACTTGAAAAAAAAAAAAATGCCTCTCACATACCCC